CCCCTCCGCCCCCCCAGCCCTAAGCCCAGCCCAGCACCGAGGCAACTTTGGATGTGTCTGCTCTTCCCGGCACTCCGGGTTACATTCCTCCGGAGCGCCCGCTCAGGCCGGTTGTGACATAGCCCTAAAACTTTAAGAGGAATTTCTGGTGGGTGAATCCCCCCCTTTTCCCCACCTCTGTTTTATTATTACCATCATCATCATCGTCATCTATTGATTTTTTTTGTTATTATTTTTTTATTGTTCTGATTTTTTATTTTTTTCCCCCCATCGGAGCAAAGATTTCTCCCTTGTTTTGCAGCCGCGGGCTGGAAGATTGAAGCGCTTCGGCTGCGAGGAGAGACAGCCCCGCAGCCCCTTCCAGGCTCTCTCGGCTCTCCCCGGGGCCAAGGGGTGCCCCCCCACCCCGGTTCGGACCGGACCCTCTCGGCCGCCCCGACCTCCCCCCGTACCATGGCAGCGCTGCCCGGGACGGTGCCGCGGATGATGCGCCCGGCTCCGGGGCAAAACTACCCTCGCACCGGCTTCCCTCTGGAAGGTAGGTCTGGGAATATGCCTCTGCTTGGAATAACCGGGGGGGGGGGGCGGGCTCGGATGCTTCGGGGGGGGGGGACGCAGCTGAACTTCGCACCGGGGGGGGGTCCCGACCTGAGCATCCAACTTCTCCCCGCTCCCGCTGGGGCTGCTGCGTCCCCGCGAATTACCGGGCTTCGCCTTGCATTTCCCTGGATTTAAAGTGTTCCCAGGCATCCCGCAGAATTTTTGGGACAGCTTCGCGTGCTTTGGGCTTATTTAGCGGGTTGAGGTTTTTTTTAAGCCCGCGAATGTCCCGACAATTTAAGCTCCTCATAAAGATGGGGGGAAACGACCGAATCGATCCTTTTCAACTTTTCCGGGGGAAAATAAGAATAGAAACCTTTAGCCGGGGGGATCCTGCGGCAGCGGGAAGCCGAGATGTCCTTGGCCGAGGCTGGTGAGGGGAAAGAGGGGCGACTTTGTAGCTGTCACCTCGCTAAGTGTCATCCCCACCTCGCAGCGCATCTTTCCCCATCCTTTGCCTTTCCTTTGTGAGCCGGCAGTTATTATTTCCAGGCACACACATTCCAAAAAAAAAAAAAAAAAAGGAAAGAAAAAAAAAAGGCGAATTTCGAGCGAGACCCTTCTCCCCGCATTTATTAAACAGGAAAATTTCATCCTGACCGTGATCAAGTGGCGAAACTCAAACCTGTGGAAAACCACGCAGGCTGCAAAACATACAAGCTGGGGGGATTTGGTGAAGTGCTTTTCTGTAGCAAATGAAGTAAAACAGACGGCAAGGGAAAGGATCAAAGGATTACAACAATATTTGCACAACATGACTGGGAATAATGAAAAGAGAGAGCGGCCGGCGGTTTTAGTACCTCTTGAATGTAAAATTGGCCACTCGAGTGTTATCTGTCGATAATGATATATCCAGGGAGTGCTGGCCAAGTGACTTGGAATTAGTGGTGCATGATTCTTGTTAAATCGCGAGGCAATTTCTGGAATCGACTTTTCTTTGTATAAAGAGAAAAATCACCCCCCTCGCCTTCCCTGTCCCTCACCCCCTCCAGCCTTGTGCAAATTACCCAGCTGAGTTCTTCTTCCCCTCCTTTTCTCCCCCCACCCCACTTTTTTTTTTTTTTTAATTTCCAGCCTGTGAAATCGTATTAATCTACAAGATCTACATTGCGAGATATTAAATAAATTGGGGAGGGGGATTAAGGAGCCGCCGGTCCCCCCGCTCCGGGCGGGGATGCGCCGGGCGAGGTGTCGGGGAAGCGGCGCGGCCGCGGGGAATCCGCGTTCCCTCCGCGCCTCCCCGAACCGCGGAATAAACCCCCACCGAAACCGCAAAAAGAAAAACAGCAGCAACAAAAAAGCCCAACAACAACAACAACAACAAAAGCCCCTCGAGGGTGTTTAAGAGATTATTTCCAAAAGTTTGTTTGAAATCAGAGAGCTCCGTAAATTGAAGCAAGAAGCAGAGTGCGCTTTTTGGGGGGGGCGAAATGGGAAGTTTTTTGGGGGTGGGTGGGTGTTGTTGTGCACTTTAAAATCTTTTCTTGTGTAAAACGTGGGGTATTGTTTAAAACAAAGGTGTGAATCCCTAAATATATATAAATGTAGTGGATAGAAACACGGGGGCTGTCGCGGGTGATGGGTGTGCGGGTCGTGGGTTATTTTTATTTTCCCACTATCGCTGGGAGAAGCCTCCCGCGTGATGCCGGGATAAAACCGAGGCCAGGGCACGGACGAGAGGCTTCTCCCTTCTTTAAACGATTCAAATCCCGGGAGAGAAGCTGCAGGCGCGGGGAGGGACGCGCCCGCTTTCGCTGCATTTTCCCCTCTTTTAACTTTTTCCCCCTCTTTGTTGGGTTGTTTTTTTTTTCCTCCTTCCTTTCCAGTTTCCACCCCGCTGGGCCAGGGAAGGGTGAACCAGCTCGGAGGGGTTTTTATCAACGGTCGCCCGCTCCCCAACCATATCCGGCACAAAATCGTGGAGATGGCTCACCACGGGATCCGGCCCTGCGTCATCTCCCGCCAGCTGCGGGTCTCCCACGGCTGCGTCTCCAAAATCCTCTGTAGGTACCAGGAGACGGGCTCCATCCGGCCCGGAGCCATCGGAGGCAGCAAGCCCAGGGTGAGTGCAATGTGGGCACCGAGCTAAACGTCCCCTCCTTACGTTAAAGAAATTCACCTTTCGTGTTCGGGGCTCCAAGTTTTCCGAGTGGTTTTTTTCAGAAGGGAGAAGGAGGGGAAAGGGCTTTAGTAAAGCTGCACTTTTCGGCCTCCGATGGGTAGAAACTGGTGCAAGTTGAAGGCTGTGAATAAATTAAAGTGATTTTTTTCCCCCGTGTGCAACAAGTGGTGCACGTTCAAGCGTTTGCTGCGGCCTCGATGTGCGGGGAGGGGAAGGGTCGGGATGTTTAGGGGAATAATACATTACCGTGTGTACATAAACACCCCAAAAAGCATCCCCCGCACCTCCTCCCTGCCTCCTTCTCCTGCTCAAGATAAACTCGCCCTGGCTGATCTCCTGGGCCCCCAGGGATTCTACTTTTAGGGTGGCCAATATTTGGGAGAGCGGGACCTTTTCTCAGCTTTATTTTCCTCCTTTCCCCCCTCCAAGCTCCCATTTTCAGCCCCAAACCCAGCAGCCCGGGCAAGGAGGGTTGAACTGAGCTGCTCAGCTCTGCCTTTCAATTAAAAGCGCTTTTTCTCTCCCCTCCCCTCCCTCTGCACTCGCGGACACGCACCGGTGTCCCTTGATCACAAAAGCAGGTCGCGACTCCCGACGTGGAGAAGAAAATCGAGGAATACAAACGGGAAAACCCGGGGATGTTTAGCTGGGAGATCCGGGACAGGCTCCTGAAGGACGGGCACTGCGACCGGAGCACTGTGCCCTCAGGTGAGAAGGCAGCTTGGCAAGAAGGACACCCCAACACCCGCAGGAGTGCGGAGGGAAATCACTGTCACCAGCAAAAATATTTTCCAGGGGCTCTCACACCCTCTCGGCCTTTGCTTTGATAAGGGAGGGGAAAAAAATCACCCCAAGCAAAGCCACAGCAGCAAATAAACCCCAGGCCAGGGGGGTGGTGCTCTTGTCTCTCTGTGGTCTGCTGCAAACCCAAACACAAACAAACCAGTTTTCCCAACTTATTCCAGCTCCCCTGGCAGCAGGGCTGTACTGGTGCAGCACTCGGGGAGGCAGCCCCCAAACCCAGGGCTAAAGGAGACCCCACTTATCCTGCTGGACTTGGCTCAGTGGGGGCTGCAGAGCAACATTTCCATCAGCCAGAGCCCCCAGTTGTCCGTGGAAAGAGACCCCAATCTTTGGCCTGCAGGGATGTGTTCGGGGTGTGTGAGTTCTTTGGGTTCCAGCTGTGAGTTGCCCACTGTTTTGGGGGCTGAGCCTTCCCTGCAGGGCACATTTACCCCAAAGCAGGCCAGGGCCTAGGGCTGAATCCAGGCTCTGGGTTCCCATTTGGAGCTGGGTGAGAGCCGGGTATTGGGGGGTCTTTTCTCTGTTCCAGAGCAGGTGACAATCCCTGTGGTGCCACCCTGGGATGCAGCACTGGCTGTGCTGGGGACCCTGGGGAGGGTGACGAGCAGGTCCAGCTGTGGGTGCCCACCTGGGCAGCTCAGTGGCCTCGGGGGGTTTTGGGGGGCACGGAGTGCTCGCCCCTGGGGGTGAGCGTGGCCTCCTGCCCACGTCCCGCAGCCCCGGCTGGGCTTTCCCAGCCCGCTCCCACCTGGCCTGCCCAGGCAGCTTATACTTGCCCTCTTGTCTTTGACTGTCTGAGGTTTAGTGAGTTCGATTAGCCGGGTGCTACGCATCAAATTCGGGAAGAAAGAGGAAGAGGAGGACTGTGACAAGAAGGAGGAGGACGGGGAGAAGAAGGCCAAGCACAGCATCGACGGAATCCTGGGCGACAAAGGTAGAGGCGGCCGCGCTGCCCCCGGGGGGGACGGAGGGGCCGTTCGGGAGAGAGGGAACAAGAGGAAGAAGGGATGGCTCGAGAGCCTCTGGTGTTTGTTCTTTCCAAAAACGAGCGCTGGGCAGGCAGAGGGAGCGCTGCAGGGCCCTGCCAGGGGAAGGTGGTACCCTCGGGCTGCTTTCCCGGGAGAGGAGTTGCTGGTGTTCTGCTCTGGATCAGTCCTACAGAAAGAGGGAAACGAGCCGGCTGGTGGTGGGGGGGAAGGGGGGAGGCATCTCTGATTCCTAAATGAATTTGTTAAACAGATTTCTCTCCTGCTCTCTAAGTGGTCCCCTGAAACTCTGGCTGACAGTTGACCGATTTGGCCAATCAATATCAATTAGAGCAGCCGCGATCGGCGCAGCCACAGAGCCACTGGGGCCGGGGGGGGCCTCGGGTGGGAGCAAACGGGGGGTCGGCACCCCTAAAGGAGATCAGGCAAAATAAATCTGGCAGCTGTGATGGAAGGCTTAAGGCCGGGCTGGTGCTGGGGCCCTGTTATCACCTCCCATGATCGGTGTTTTCTTCTCTCGTGGGAGGAAAAAATTCAACTTTTTAAAGCTTCCGTGCTCGAAATGTGAGGTTGGGGGTGAGGAACAGCCAGAGCCGGCCATTGCGGGAGCTGGAATTTGATTTTTGGTAAACTCGGCGGGGGTGACGATTCCCCTTCCAAAAAAACGAGGGGCAAGTGGCACTTTTCGGGACAATAAATGAGATTTATCAGTGAAGGCGAGGAAGTTGAAGTATGGGGAGGGAGGAGCCGCTGTATGGGTGTGGGCAGAAAATGATTTCCTTGTGTCACGGAGCTCGGCGCTTTTTGGGGGGGAAAGCGGCAATTTTGGAAGTCTTGGGGATGTGCCTCGGGAAACTGGAAATTGTTTTTTTTTCTCCCAAACTGACGCAAAAAGACGATGGGCTGAGCCTGCTGGGGTCCGGTCGGTTGGAGTTTTGGGGGATCCGGGATATTGTGGGGCCAAGAGGAAGCGGAGCGAGAGGGATTTTCCCCATGGAGCCTTTCCCCAATCTCGGTGTGGGAAGCGGGAGGGAATCACTCCCAAAGTTTCTCACTGGCTCCAAAGTTTTCCCCGTTTTGGGACAATGCGAGTGAGTGGGGCAATATTGACGTGGGGGGAATTTGGGGCAGAAAAAGCTTCTCCGTGTCACCATCAAACGTTCCTGGGAGTTTTAAATGAAGGTGCACAAAAGGGTTTTATTTTATTTTCTTTTAAAGGATCTGATCCTTTTTTTTTTTCCCCAACCTTGAAGATGAACTTCACTTACAAAGACCTTCAAGTCTATTGAAGCTTTATAAGTAAAAGATTCCTGACCACAAAAGCAAACAGAAGAAAAAAAAAAAAAAAAAAAAAAAAAAAAAAAAAAAAAAAAAAAAAAAAAAAAAAAAAAAAAAAAAAAAAAAAAAAAAAAAAAAAAAAAAAAAAAAGAAAGGGGGGGAAAGGGGGGAAAACCCGAGGCTGCCTTAAAAATGGAGTAAAGGGATGGGGGAGGGAGGGCTTGTCTATTCTCATTCAAAATTCGGCAAGGAGGAGAAAAACTTTGGACAAAGGGCCAAGGAAGGGAAGAAAGGGAGATAAATTATTCAAAACTCCCTGCTGTTAGATAGTTTTGTAATATTATAGGACCGTCTGTTGGAAAAAGGGAGAACCGTTGGACGTTGCAAAATGTTGCTTGTGATTTGGAAAGAGGCGATGCTCATTTGCAAATCGGGGCCATTGTGTCCGCGGAAAGCTCCCCCCTATCACTTTGGGGTGTTTTTAATTTTATTAAGGGAGGTAAAGAAGATTTTAGGGTTTAAAATTTATTTTACCCGCTCCTCACCGCTTGAAAAAAAAAAAATCTGTATCGTTTTTAAACCGCGGGTTGATTTATTTTCCCCTTGTCAGCACGTTTTGCCCGTCACCACCCCCAAAATAACAATAATTAAAAAAAATAATTAAAAAGAATGAGTGAAAGAGCTGGAGGCTCTTTATTCGTGATTAACACGCAGAAGTGCGTGTCAAAAAGCAAAACAAAACGCTCTCTTCTTCCTTCATGGGTAATATCGCGGACAAATAAAACACGAGCCCCCATTTCTTTCTGAAAGAAGGCTAATTTGGGCAAATTCCCGCTGCCGGAGCCCGCGGAGCGCCGCGGTACCTCCAAGCGCGCAGGCTCCGCTCGCATCCCTGGAGAGAAATCCCGAGTTATCAGGAATTTAAAATTTGATTTCCTCCCCCGCAATCGCTCCCTGACTTTGTAGATTGCAGAGAAATCGCCCCAAAAGGCTCTAATTTGGGTTTTTTTGGGGGAGGGGGGGAAAGTCAACCGCGGGCGGGGGTTGGACCCGGCGCATCCGAGCGTTGCGCGATCGTGACCGGCTGGAAAACAACCCTTAAAAAATAAAAACTGTCCGCCGTCAATGTGTGTTTTAACGCCTGGGAAAGCTTTAATGGCCCCAATTAAGATAATTGATGATTCAACTTGCAAAACACTCCGAGGCGGTGGGTGCACGCTGGATATTTTTTTCGCTCTAAAATGGTAATATTTTTATATAATAAAATTAAAAACTCTTCAGAGTCATTTCCCCCTTCACCTTATTTTTTTTCCCGGGAGATTCGCAATAAAAATAAAAATACACCGCGCTTCTGCCACTTGTTCTCAGCTTCGCGTGGGGTGGGTGTAAAGGGTTTTATTATTATTATTATTAGTAGTAGTAGTAGTAGTAGTAGTAATATTATTATTAATTTCTGATTTTTAACGCGGTTTTCTGATTCTCGCGGATATCGAGAGGGGGGGGGAGAGGAAACTTTGTTTTGGCCTTTTTCCTCTTGACAAACGTTTCATTGCGGGTTCTCCTCGCAGGGAGCCGGAGGAAGACAGCCCTAAATGCTCTCTCTTTTTAAGTGTTAAAGAAAGCTTCCACCCTGCGCCTGTTTCTTTCTATCGTCTGCTTGGCATTTAATAATGTTAAGACTTATTAGAGCTGGTAATGAAAACTGTGGCTGTTGAATAGGGAGCTGTGTTGGAGAAGGGTGTAATAGCTCCAAGGCATGCTAAGAAATGTATTTATCCCCAATCAGTACTCACTCTCTGAGTTCCCAGCACAAACGTTAAGTTGAAGGGTTTTAAGGCAGATTAAATTGAGCCTTTATTTCTTTGCACTTTCATCTTTAAACGGCTCACTCCAGCTAGCCCTGGGCATATATTCATGAGGCTTCACTTTATTTTTTTTTTATATATATTTTTTTTATATCCTTGTTAAGACCGAGTTGTTATTATTATTATTTGGGCTTGTTGTTATTTATTATGGCTGGTGGGGTTTATTAGGGAGGGTCGCGCGTGGGGGCTGCTCTGTTCTCTCCCGCGGTGGGGACGGAGGGGGGGGGACGTTTGGACACCCCCAAATTTCAGGGGGTGCTGCCCGGGGGTTAATTGGGAGGAGCAGGGGAAGGGCCTCATCCTGGTGGGGTATTAATTGCAACCAGACGCGGGGGAGGAGGCTCGTGGGGTTATGGGGAAGGCGATGGGTCTGCACTGGAGGAGAGGGAAGTTCGGCAGGTCCCCCCACGCTCCCAGCGTGTCACCCCACGGTCACGGGTGGGAACAGCCGGCCCTGCCCCCTGGACTGCTCTGGGACGCAGGGCAGGATGCAAAGGATGCTCAGGGCTTGGGTGCTGGGCCCCATCAGGGGTGAAAACCCGGATTTTTAATTAATTCCCCCTCCGTTTGTATCTCCCAACTCCGCTTTATTGCACGAAGTTTCTTCCACCGATCCATTTTTTTGCTTCGATGCCCCCTGGAAATATCGCGTGGGGTGGGGAAAGCCGAGTGGGAAAGCCGGGAGAGCAGCGGGATGGATGTTTATTGGCGGTGGGAGAGGCGGACAGGTGTGAACAGCACAGGAGGGGGGACACATGGACACGTGGAGGTGATAACAATTTAATTTGGGAGCCCTCGGTGCCCCTTCTGTCGAGTTTTGGGGGGCTGGACGGAGCACGAAGAGGTTGGGATGGTCCTGCCCAATTTAATTAGGATCGGGGAGGGAAAGGAGAAAGAAGGGGGGACCCCCCCAGCTGGAAAGGGGCTTTGTTTCCCAAGGTGGGAGCGGGGGGAGAGGGGATGCGGAGTCAATTTATCAGCAAACAATCTGCATTGATTTAAAACCAACAAGCGCTTTCTCTGTAAATGTATGTTTAGAAGCGGGGCGGGG